GGTTTTGCGATAATCAGCTGAACCACGCAAGTGTAAATTTATGCTACCAACTACAGAGCCTATTTTAAGGGAATTTGACTGGGGGGGGGCAACCTGGAAAATTGTCTTTAATAATCCATTAACCCTCGCCCGTATTGGTGTTTCCAGTAGCGAGCGTATAGGGGCGGGGGGGGGGGTCCGTTGGACCCTCCCCTTGCCGTTTCGCCCCTGATCGAGCTAGAGCTTCGCGGAAAAAACGACCGTGTTGCCCGTGATGAAAGGAAGCCGATTATACCCAATTTTAAGGTCCTAGGTCATCGGTTGACCTTCCAGGTCAGGTCATTGACCCAAAAGTCGGGAAAATCGGGACCTGTTAGAGCGTCGTAAAGAGTGGCTGCTATGGTTTTTCGGGGTGCTGATCACGAATATCATGTTAGTTATGATCATAGATGATGTCTTCATGCATTTAGGCCAGGTCAGGTCAGGTCAACCAGTAAGGGTTTTGCCGGGTATTCGTAGTAGGTGGCAACCGCCTCTGACAGCTTCGTAACATGTTACGAAGGCACCAAAACTACTTCGTAAATGGTCAAATGGTTGCTTAACCCGCGCCCCAGTGGCGGTCTCGGCCAACTTCGCCCTAGTGAGGGGGGGCATATGTTACCACCCACCTCTAACTCAAAAACTAAGAGGGCTAGAAAGACGCGGTAAAAAGCAGTCGATAGCTCTCAATACGTACGTTTGAAAGTATATCGGTCATTTTTCACCTTAGAGCAATATTGGGGTCACCAGAGGTCATCAAAGGTCAAAATTTGCCAATTGTCATTATATTTTTCAGAAAACATGCCGCTATCACAGGAACTATGGTAACTAGAAAAACGCATGTAAAAGCAATCGATAGCTTTTGAACTCTTCTTTTGAAAAGGTCATTATCAATATTGTCCTCAGGTCAACGGTTTAGCCTACAGAGGGCAAAAACTCCAAAAATAGCTGTTTTTACGGAAAGTGTTTTTCGACAATAACTTTCGACTACAAAAAGCCACGACATTTCTATTGCCAGAATCGTGTTCCCCTCACCGAGACGCGTCGAATGAACTATAATTTGACCTTGAAAGGTCAACTTAAAAATTTGACCTCAGGTCAAGGTCATGACCTGACCGGAAAAGGTCATGTTGCATATCAGTCGATGCGTCTAAACAAGACAAACACAATGAGACCATCCCCAGCGTTCTATCTCTTTCCAATCGCGAGTTATTGGCAAAAAAACTGTTTGTAGCCTCAAATGACCTCGGATGACCTTTCTAGAGGCTATCAGCAAAAATGACACCTTGGTCATCACGAGTGGACTAAATCATTGTGATTCTGAAATATTTGGACTGTTCCTATGCGTACACACGGATCTAGAGGCATTTTCATTTTTCTCCATTGACTTGTAATGTAAAGGTCATGCCACTGACCTGACCTTAGGTCACGGATATAAAAAATCCGAGATATACAAATTGTAGGCGCCCATAACAGCATGCAATCCACCAAGTTTAAAACCTTTCTGACAAATACTGCAGTCTGGACATGATTGCAAACTTTTTTTAAGGCTTGGTCAGTTAACTTGACCTGGTGACCTGACCTGACATGACCTGGGGTCAAAAATTTCACACATTGTCCAAAATTGATGTGGTTTTTTATTCACACGCGAAAAACGCGACAGGGTGGTAACATATGCCCCCCCCCCCCCCCCACCCCACTGGGGCGAAGGTTAATTCGAATTCAGCTCCAAAAACTAGCCTAGAAACATATAAAACTCGAAAATGTGAACCGAGGTCATCAAAGGTAAATGATCTGACCTGACCTTCCGGTGATCTTGACACCCACCCTAAAGCATGGGAGCAACATCATATCCCATGTTTGAACGTTTGAAACCACGAAAAGACTGCAAACGCGCGGCTAATGCGAGGCGACATACGCCGAATCGCGACCTCGGCCAAACATGGTGCCATGGTGCTAGGCCGCCGGTGCATCTGAAAGAACTGTGGTGCCCCTGACAAGCCTGAAGTTCCAACGACAGGCCCGTGGTGCCCCTGACAGGCCCATGATGCCTTTGCGAGGCCGGTGGTGCCCCTGGGCCCTGACAGGACTGTGGTGCTCCTGACAAGCCTGGAGTGTCCCCGACAGGCACGTGGTGCCACTAACAGGCCCAAGGTGTCCCAGTCCCTGCGAGGCCGGTGGTGTCCCTGCCAGGCATGTGGTGTCCATACTAGGCCTCTGGTGCCCCTGACAGGTCCGTGGCGCCCTTGCTAGGCCTATGGTGCCTCTGGCAGGCCTATGGTGCCCCTGGCGGGCCTGTGGTGATACCCCTGACAGGCCCAAGGTGGTGCCCCTGCGAGGCCGGTGGGGCCCCTGGCAGGTCTGTGTTGCCCCTGGCAGACCTATGGTGCTCTTGCTAGGTTGATGGTGCTCCCAACAGGCCTGTGGTGCCCCTGACAGGCCGGTGGTGCCCCTGGCAGGCCTGTGGTGTCCCCGGGCCCCAAGAGGGTGGGGGGTCATGACCCAATCCATATGACCCACCCTTAGATACACCACTGGTCATTACTTACAGACTGACTCATTTGACATCCATTGCAAAACAAGTCACAGTAGTTACGTAGTATGTTTGTCACCCTGTTCCTTTATGCCCATTTTTATAGTGGGCAAATCTCGACGACTAGGGGGGCAATTCTGTTGAGTGCGGGGGCATTTGCCCCCCCAGTTAACATGTTAAAATAGGCCCTGACCAACTAGCCATTTATTATCCGCATGGGATTAAAAATGCACTTGGGTAATAATTTTACTACCAATAAGCTGAGGTGTAAAAAACATAAGAACTTGAAATTACACCATAGTTGCAAGAAAACCCTAAAGTACTGGATGGATTACACCTAAGTTGAGTAAAAAATGCACCAAGTCATCTTTTAACTCTGAATTTTCGGCTAAGGGTGGTACAAATAGTCTGGAAAGTGGTGTTAAGTGGTTACAAATATCACCCAAAAATACCACCAAGGTGTACTTTTCTTTCAGTGTACTCAATAGTGGGATCCATCCACGGTCCAACTCTATCCCCCCTCCCCCGCCCCTTATAAGGGCGAGGGTTTACCCGAGCAAAAATGACCATTATTTGAACATAATCGTTGGGAGGTATCGATCGTTGCTTACCGCGTCTTCTATCTCATTTGGTTGTCGAGACATTCGGGTGCGGCCTGCCCCCCCCCCCCTCCCCATCGTCTATCACCTGAAGCGTTGTCGGCTGAGACCGGCCGGCCCGGGCGTGTGCTGCTATGTTCATCGATCCGGGGTGTTTTGGCCAGTTATTGATTATAAGGATAAATTTTCGGCAACTTGTTTTGCCTAGTTGTGTCATATCCCCACACTGGCCAATGCTGAAATGCAGTATTGGACGCTACGGGGTATCCTCCATAAAAAAACTTTACGAATAATTCAGACGCCTTTAATTCAGGCACCTAATGCGTTGCTGTACCGGTGAAAGTAAGGCTTTTTCTTGCGAAAATAACTTTTTTATCAATTCGGGGAAAGCGACGAATTTTGCACGATCTAGGAGGCTGCGGGAGGGGTGAATAGGTACCCCAGATACCCCATATCTCCATAGAATTGTCAATATTTTTGCACGCGATTTATCACGAAGCTCAATGCTTGACCGTCCCTGTTATGATGCGGTCAGGTCGGCGGCGCCCTATCAGAGGGCCGGCCGGTCACCGCTCCGCCAATCAGATGGCCGCTTATTCTGACCAATCAGAGGTCGCCCCGATCGGCCCACTGCCGCCCGACCTCGACACGGGGGCGGAGCGGATTTGCATTGTTGACGTGTGGGGGGCCGGTTGCCAACGGTCATCACGATTAAATTTTCCTGTATTGATATTTTGTGGCTGAGTGAAGACAGAAAAGAGAAAAGAAGAGTTAATTTTCTTTGGTTGCTCTTAAAATCATGCCTGCAATTAAAAGGTAAGTTATTGTTTGAGGGATGGAAATTTGATTATTGGCTTTCCAGAAATGATGATGAATAGGTGCTGGTGCCTTGTCTGATGTGTTCCATTGCCCATTGGTATAATGATGTTATGTAGTACCTACCGTACCAAGTGGATTTGTTTGTATTTTATATATTTCTTTTCTGTGGCGATTTCTACAATATCCGTCGCTGTTTAGTTTTATTTGAAAATAACGACATTGACGATGATATGCAGATTCCCGGGGTAAAGCTACATTTAACTTCGGTATTTGGCTGGTCGTATTTGAGTTGCGGGCTGTTCGGCCCCTCCTAGTCTCGCCTGGCAACTGGCTCTTCCTGGGACGGCGACTGGTGCGGCTCTCAAACAGGACCCGTCCTCCTCCCCCCCCCCCCCCCCAAATACCTGGTCGGCCGGTCTCGATTTGGTACTCGGGTCCCGGTAGGCGATCGGCAGAATCTGCCGAATGTCGACAGCCGATCGACTTTTCCGCGCTGAATACGAATAGTCGACTGCAAAATAAGGTTCTAGCAAAATAAGATGCTGTCGGTCCAGATAGCCATTCAATGCAACGTTTTGGTATTGATCAAATGCTTGCATAATTGGAATATCATAAAGATGGTGCAAAAAGGTCATGGTCAATAGAGCGCAAAAGGCATCGCGGCTCGAACCCACTTGTTCCGCTGCGGGAGCCCGCCCGCCGAGAAGGCCCTCCGCGCCCGGCGGTGATCTATTTGTGTTACAGCGGTGTCGTGCGGGCCGCGTGTGTCTCTTCGCCTCCGAGGTTGGTCGGTTCTTATGTTGGCGGTCGTATTCTGGAGCGGACAGGCCGCAGTAGATCGGGTCGGCGTGTCTGACCTTCTGAAGCCGATCGGTTCCGATCGTGTCGCCGTCGTCTATGTAAGCAAACAGCGCCCGTCGGTCGGTCCAGCTGCGTCCAGCCCGGGGGACCGGCCGCCGGCCCGCCCCCGCTGCCCCCGCTGCCGCGGACCGACGCGGGTACACCGCCGGCGGCGACAGTGCGTGCTGACACGGGCCGGCGGAAGGAGCCGGGAGACCAAGGACTGACGGACAGACCCCAGCCATGGACCGGCAGCTGGCGCAGCAGCAGCAGCAGCTGCGGGGCCGCGTGGTGCGCAGTGACAGCTCCCACCAGCAGGACGCCCAGAGCTACGCCATCGCCGGCGGAGAGGCGCGCGAGCAGAGCCGACAGGACTCGCGCGTGCTGGAGGCCGAGATTCCGGGCGGCCAGCTGAGCCAGCACAGCCAGCAGCGGCAGTTCCAGCTGCAGCAGCGCTCGGTGCAGCAGCTGCCCGGTGGCGGACAGATGAGCCAGCAGACCAGCAGCAGCCAGCAGGTGCACCAGCAGGTCAGCAGCAGCGTGCAGCACTTTGGCTCCCAGCCGGCACTCCAGTACCAGCAGCAGCAACAGCAGTTCCAGCAGCGCCAGCAGCAACAGTTCCAGCAACACCACCAGCAGCAATACCAGCAGCAATACCAGCAGCAGCAGCAGCAGGAGCTGCAGGAGGCGCAGCACTACAGCGTCGCCTACGGTCGCCAGCAGTCGGCCAGCAGCGACTACTCAGGTGGGCCGATCGGTGTCGCCTGCAGCGCCCCAACCCCCCGCCCTGTAGTCAGCAGGGCTGCGTATTTCGGTGACTGGCTCCGGCTCTCAAAATCGACACAGACTCCTACTTCGGACATCTCTGTTTAAAGTAATTGTAATGCTAGTAATGCTCATATCAGAGATCTGCTTGTGATGCTGCATGAAACAATCCCTGGCGCGTTCTAAGATCTTCCGTTGCAAGCATGCTTGATAAATAGCAACCCGAGATGAAGGGTGCTGGTGCAGCCGCCGTTTTCTGCTTTTCTCACCCAAAACGCTCGTATAAAGCAGAATTGAAGCCTTAGCCTCCACAAAGATATTGTTTTGGGCAATGAACATAATTTTTTCAACCAGACAGTAATCGAGTATGACTTTGCACCATGCAGTGTCGATCCCGACTCCTTAGTCCTATGAGTTTGTAAGATTTTGGCGACTCCGACTCCTGGCAGAAATGTCGACTCCGGCCGACCCTGACTCAGACTCCGCAGCCCTGGCCCCTGCTACAGACCACTGGTGGAAACCAAGGCCGTATAAGGGTGGAAACCACAGTCGGAATCCACGCGCGGTACATCCACAGTTGAACGACCGGCATTAAATCCGTCCGCCGGTTATCGTGAAGCTCAGTTGATGCCATCGCCTCTATAACATAAACGACATTTTAATGGATAGACGCAAAACCGCCGGACTCCTAATGGTTTGCGCATGTAGTCCCTAATCGGCTTTCAGTTTGCTCGAGTAACAGACTGATTTTTAGTGTGTGTAATTACATGCCTACAATGGACGCTGTAGTAATAATTTGGCTTCAATGATGGCTGGCCTGTAATTACAGAGTGACATTTTGAGCTATGTTGTACCCACTTACCTAATTTTTATGTGCCTATATAGTACTCATAGGGCCCACTGCGGTGATGTTACAATTCACTCCACTTCCGTAGCTGGTTTGTTACCTGAATTTAGCTGAGATTAGATTTCTTATGAATCTTAGCCCACGAGCCGCTGGGGGGGGGCATAAAGTTGCCCCCCCTTTACGTTTTGTGAAATATCTCCGAAACCTGATGAGCTACGAACGTGAAACTTGGCATAGCTTCAAATGAATGCCTAGGCAATGTTTGAGGAAAGTTTGGTGGTTGTAGCACCTAAGATGACGTCACAGTGACGTCATAAAGTTTTGTCGATTTCCGATATGGACCGTTTCTGATGACGCTGAGCATGAAACTCAACTGTAAATGAACTAGACAGCACCTGCTGTCATCCTAAAACATCTAACTACACTTCCATCTAGTTTCTGACCAATAATACTCTTTATATTCGGTCCCATATCGACACCTTTTTTTTAAACCCCACATCTGCTCTCCCGTGAATTTCCGGGAGGCACGAAAGATCTCCTTTTAAAAGCGTCCAATCGTCCGATCCTGATCAAATATGTGTGTTTGTAGGCCTGTTCTGGTATTGCTTTATCTGCCAAGACAGACAAACTTGAGAAAAATCGAGTGATTGTACCTTTTTTGAAGGTCTCTAACCAGCTTGTCTGAAATTCACCGGAGAACAAATGTGGGGTTTTAAAAAAAGGTGTCGATATATCTGTTGTATCGTGGGGAATATTGAGAGTCGCAAATCTATAATTTCACTTATGACGTCACTGTGACGTCATTTCAAATGGGATCGACACCAAGTTTGGACACAACCTCGGCTAGGTATTCAGGAAGATGTGTGCAAAGTTTCGCTTCTCTAACTCTTCGCATTGCGACGATATCGTCGCAGAAGTAAAGGAGGGCAACTATATGCCCCCCCCCCCCACCCCCGGCGGGTGGCGCGGAGGCCCAGCGGCCGCCGGGTTAACTCTTGTAAGTAGTTGCTTTGATCTGTCGTGAGCCGTGCACATTTACGCGTCTGCCTACACGTATCCGTAGCTTGAAAGGCCACCTCATACTTTTGAATGAGACTTCTTAAGTTATGCCTGTGTATTCGAATGAGCCATCCATTGGGTCTTCCGGCTTATCTCTTGGTAAGTATGTACATTCGCGTAGGTATGTGAATGTTAACAATATTCCAGTGGCCGCTGTCGGTGTGTGACCAACCAGGCGCGCACACAGGATTTTTGAATGGGGGGGGCACGACCTTCGAACTGGGCCCCCCATGCCGAAGGCCCCCCCCCCCCAAAAAAAAATACGGCCCACGGGGCTATATTTCGGTTGGTTTGAAGCTTGAGCAATTGGTTTGTCAATGCATGGTAGGTAAAACAATTATTTCGGTACCAGCTTAATTTTCAAAACATATATATTTTTACGCTAGCATGTTTTTTTTAGCATTTTTTTTCGCGGACCCCGGGCCCGCGAGTCACCCGGTGGCCCGGGGTCAGCTCAGGCAAGGATGAATCCAGGACCTTTCGATGGGAGGAGGAAGGCACGATGGGTCCAGTCTCACTGGCAGACGGGTCTCTTTAAAACGGTCTTTGCATGAGAAAATGTGGAAAATCGGCAAGCAAAAGTATCATTTATGCCCGAGGAGTGTGCCTAATGTACACTAATGCCTAATTTACATGGTATTTTACGAGCGAGCGAAGCGAGCGAGCTCCTCAGAGTCACCGGTGTGTGGCGCGCTCAGAGGTGCCAGTGAAAGGCCGTCAGATGCGCTGGTGTTGGGTCCTCACAGGCGCCGTTGCGGGGTCTTAGGGCTTAGAGACACTGGTGGGGCCATCATTGGCATGTGTGTGGCCCTGCAAAATGGCCTGCAAGTGGAAAGTGGCCCGTCATAGGCTGGCAAGGACACTCGGAGGCTGGTAAGAGGCCCTCAGAGTCACTGGTACGTGGCCCTCAGAGGCGTCGGTGTGGGGACTCTCAGAGCCGCCGATGTAGTAGAGCACTTCATGGGCCGGATAAATCCGTTATCCACTGATAAATCCGCGGACCGGATAGGATTGGATTCTAAATTTGTTAAAAAAGAACGGATATGGGCGGGCCGGATTTGGGAATTGAAGGTTGAACCCGGATCAAAACGGATCAAAATTTTAACATTGAACATTGAAGTTAAAAATTAACCTAATGTGTTAAGCGGCAGCAGAGGTTTGATTAAAGTAATAGGCATCATTTTATGACACTCACTTGTCACAAGACTTGTCTTCAAGTGGATAATGTATGCAATGTATGCATGGTTTTTGGAACCATGATGGTCTATGAGATGTATGGCTGTCTGGTCCCTTAGATTGAATTTGTTAGTCCAGTTTTGGGTGAAACCAGTTATTGGTGAAACGGATTATTACGGATATTTTTTGGAAGTTTGGCTGCAATACGGGCCATGGGTGGGCCGGATTCTGATATTCAAAGAAAGGCTGATAATGGGCGGATCTGGATATGACTTGCCGGATATGGGCCGGGCCGGATCCTAAAAAGCCTATCCGTGAAGTGCTCTACTATGTAGGCCCTTAAGATGCGCTGGTGGGGGTCCCTTGGAGGTGGGGCGAGGGGCCTCGCAGTTGCCGTTGTGGGTGCCTTTAGAAACACTGGTGTGGACCGTGTGTCTATCACAGACGGATGTGGAGCCATAGCAGCCAATCCCTCGTTGGCCGTTACTAGGGCCCTGAGCGGCCGGCGAGGTCTCTCAGAAACCGGCATTGGGCCTTTATGAAGATAATTGTGGCTACATAGGAGCCAATAACGTGCCCCCACAAGCCCTGTGGTGTCCTTCCGAGTTGAAGTGCGGCCAGCGCGAACCCTCTGCTACCAACTGGCGCCGCAGGGCCCCTCGGTTTCGAAGGAGCCCTAAACCCGAGAACGGGCACGTACCCCCTCGCTCCCTTGCTATGTCACTGAATCCATGGGACTCTTTAGGTAATCAGGGGCGTTTCAGATGACAAGGGGTTTTCAATTGATCAGGGGCCCACCAGGTAACCATGGGCCCCTCTGGTAACCAGGCGTTAAGTAACGAGGAACCCCATCAATAACCAGGGCCCCTCAGTAAACGGGGGCCACTCAGGTAAGTGTAGGAGTCCCGCAGAAGGGCCGGCAAGGTTTCTCAGGTCCGTTTTTTGACAAGGCTCTTATTGACTCAGGTGCGAGCCCTTTGCCATCAGCAGGGGGCCCTTTCAAGCCTTTTGAGGGCCGTTTAATGTCTCTTGAGTTCCTATTGAGGCCTTCTAAGGGCCCTTTGAGCAGTCGAGGGGCCTTTGAGGCCTTTTGAGGGCCTCTTGACGTCAGCTGAGGACCGTTGGACGCCAGCTGAGGATCGTGTTTTTGGGCCTTCTGATGGCCATTAGACGCCAATGGATGACCCTCGTCCCTCTGACACCAACTGGGGCCCTCTGACACCAGCTAAGGGCACTTTAAGTTTGACGCTAGCTCAGGGCCCTCTGGCATTAGCTGGGGGGCCCTCTGACGCTAGCTCAAGGCCATTTGACGCTCTTTAAGGCCTTTTGAGGGCCCTTGAGGTCTTCTAAGGGCCCCTTGAGGTTTTCTAAGGGCCCCTTGAGGCTTTTTGAGGGCCGCTTGACGCCAGCTGAGGACCGTTTGAGACCTTCTGATGGCCATTTAGCGCCAGCTGGGGGCCATCTGGCACCAGCTGGGGGCCCTCTGTCACCAGCAAAGGACTCTTTAGAGCCTTCGGAGAGCCGTTCGACGCAAGGGCATGGCCCTCTGACGCCAGCTCAGGGACCTTTGACACCCTTTAAGGCCTTCTGACGTCCGTTTGACGTTAGCTGAGGGCCCTTTGAGGCTATCTGAGGGCCCTTTAAGGCCATCTGAGAGTCCTTTGAGGTCATCTAAGGGCTCCTTAAGGCCATCTGAGGGCCCTTTGACACCATCTAAGGGCCCTTTGACACCAGATGAGGGTCCTATGACGCTAAGTGAGGGCCCTTCGAGGCCATCTGAGGGCCTTTTGAGACCATCTGAGGGCCCTTTAAGGCCATTTGAGGGCCCTTTGTACACGGTCTTCGGTGGTCTAAGGATTAGTTAGAGGCCCATTTGAGGCGGCCTTCGGCCGCCTCAAATGGGCCCCTTCCTTCGAGTTGGCCCCCCAACTCGAATGGGGGGGGGGCACGGGCCCGTGTGCCCCCCCTTGTGTGCGCCCTTGTGACCAACACTTCCGTATCTAATTACGTCGTCGGGCGTCCCTGACACGGCGCCAGATAAACCGTCTCCCCTCAGCCGGGCAGACGGTTTATGAGCGCTTTCTGTTGTGATCGCCGCTCAAAAGTCCGCCACAATGTTTGGTTATCGCGGCCAATAGCAGCCGGTTTAGGATAACAGCGGTGAAATTACGAGAAAATCGGGCTGATATTTTGAGTGAAGATGCGCTGCTTTTCGTGATCGTCTTTATTTGTAGGTATCCCGGGATATAATGTTTTGTAACGCAACGTTTTTTGTTAGGCACCTATAAAGTAAAAAAGTTATAAGTGCGCATCGGGACAATGTATCGTTCTAAACTCCCGTGACAAGTCGCTCCCGTGGCTGATCCGTCTGCTGTGCCGCGGTGGTCGCCTCGGACCGCTGTTTTTGCTGGGTAACCTTCAGCGGTTCGAGGGCTGGCTCCGGCCCAGACCATGGGCTGCCCATCACAATCACTCGGGCCTATATTTAACGTCTGCTGTAGACGCGGCGCATGCGCTCGTTTAGAAGCTCGTCCCAGAGATCTGAGGAACAGCTGATATTCCCCACGGTTTCACCGGTTTACCGGCGCTGCAGCGTTGTAGGACCCTATAGGTATCTCGGCTGCTGAGCTGCAGCAGTGTTGAAGCGCCAGGCCCGGAAGACATAAATGCCACCTTCTGCGACACATTTCTTGCACGTATCGCATGTCGCATGGATCGCACTTCCCAGCTTTTTTTTAGTTTAAGTGGCGCATAATCCTTACAACAAGCAAGCATGGGCCGAAATAGTTTTCATTGAAACTGATTAGATACTTGTTTTATTGCAACATTTCTTCATTCTTTACCCGACTCGCTGGAGAGTGAGACGCGTCAAGTCGCGTGATAGCCTGGTCAGCGGAAGCAATGAATTGCTTTTTGACTCTCCACCCGAAAAAGGGCCCAGATGGTTTGTCACGATTGCTCAAAACGCGTCGTCGTAAGACAGCTGAAAGTTAATATAATTGACCATTGATTTACGCCGGGTCTTGAGCTAATAACTGTATTTTCAGGTCATGTTAGGTCGCTAGTCTGTAGCGTCTTAAATCTGCATGGTCCAAACTCCAAAGAATATGTATAACGACCTCAACGCATTTAATGCCATGGAATATTGCGTCTTGGGTTTAAACTTTAGGAAATAGCGCGCCTCCGAGTCCTCAAAACTTGTATATCTCCGATTTTTGTCACTCGGTCGGGTCAGTCACGTGATCCCAATTAAAAGTCGGTGCCTACCCATCTCCCCCCTCGGTTGTGGTGTGGTTATGTAGAAGGTCAATAGGCCTGACAATGGTACAGTGAAGGCTGTGGAATTTAACTAAGCCTTAGCCATGCGTTTTGCTCTTCCGACTTTACCCGCAGAATGAGCGGTAATACCGTTACTGGTGCATTTGCACGGCCTCTTCAGTTCCTCCTGCGTGGGGCGAGGTCGGCATTTGGCGTGTCGAACCCGTCCGTCTGTTTTACCAGCCCCCTGCCGGTCCTCCGCTGCACGGTCAGGGGGTTCCGGACGGAACTGGCGCTCACCAACCACGGGGGGGGCAAAACGGCCGGGAGGACGGGCAGCGGTCTTCCAGGCGTCGGTGCGCCCACCGGCCGCGGTGCTAAAATTAGCACCTGTGACTGATAAAAGAAACAGTTTTGAGGTCCATGAGTCAAGCGGCGCGGCTGGCCGAGGAGGCGGCCGGCGGCGGCGGCAGCGGCACTCGGTGCGGTGCGGGAGCGGAACGAGGAGCGGTGCGCGAGCTCCGGCAGTGCGGTCACAGGTGGATAGAGTCGCAGGCAGAGCGCCGTCTCACGGAGCGCCGAGAGCCGGACAGGCGCCGAGTACACATTACATATGTGAGTGACTGATATCCTGCAGTGCGGAAATAAGATTGTCCTGTACCTTTAGCAGTTAATGTAGCCATTGTTCCCCTGTATAGCCTCACGTTCTTAATTTGTGATCGACATATATTTTACAGACCGGCATTTCTCACTGGCTTGCGAACTCTGAAGTCTCAAATACCTATTTTTTGTCATTCGTTTTACTTTGTTGCACGATCATCATCCATAATCCATTTTTCATTTAAGTCTACCTAAATGATATCCATCAGTTACACTGTTGCACATAATTATTATTTGGGAACCGGTTGAGTGTCATTTCTGACGGAACTATTTTTGCTATAAGATGACAGACTGTTGGTTGGCAGCAGTTACGATGATTCTATAAACAGGTGTCATTCTATGCTCAGGCGAATCGAAGATATTTCACCCAATGACATTCCAACGTCCTCGTTTATTCTTCCGGACACCCGAATAGCTGCGGCTCTGAACAATCCATCCGTCACTTGGTAAAATTGTGACGTTTGAGCACCTTGGTGCCGTTCTTTTTTAACAATAAACCTGCTTTGATGTTTTTCAGTACCTAATCAATGTCTAAATGTATTTATATTTAGGTGTTCGGGGATGTATCTCTTAGGTATACCTACATTTGTTTTACGTAAAGTGGTATTTCGATGGGCCATAAATTTGCAAATGCTTTGTAATTGGTTTGATACGTTTCCCCAGTGACCGACCCGTCTTCACCGCTCACTGGCGTGTCGTGTTCCGATCGGCCCAAATTAGTCTGCCGACTCATTGACTGGGCGGAGATAGAGTCGGACTGAGTCACCGCCGTGTTGTCGGCCTCTGGAACGGAGCTCCTCGTCGGCCCGTGCCAACCGCCGAGCTAATGGGGGCCCGACAGCCCCTCCGACCGGGCCGTAAAACAAGGCGGGCTGTGCAGTGACAGCAGTGCTGTGCTGCTAGACGCCTCCAAATGCTGAAACTATCGGCGCGGAGACGGTCTCGTTACTCGGTTTTATCGCTGTTCGGTAGCCGGAGGCGCCCGACGGCAGTCTGCTCCGTCGCGTCATCAGGCCGTCATTGCGGCGTCATAGGAACGTCACTGGGTCCCCCTGTGACGCAGTGCTTCGCTCGCACGTGCGTCGGCGGCGCGCTCTGGCCGGCCTCGGTCGGTGTCAGGTGCCCCCGCCCCGCAGCGGCCCGGGCGGCAGCCGTCGGTGACTCAGTCGGCCCGGCCCGGCAGCCAGCCGGCTGTGTCATCTGGAAGCTAACCCGGTTTCCGCTAAGAATAGCGCTGCTCCAGCGGCGGCGGGACGGAGACGTACCCCGGGAGCCGGTGGGACCGCTGGCCGCCGCCACTGCGGAGAGAGACGGGTGTCGGCGGTCCACCTGTTAGCGGCCGGTGGGCGCCGCGCGGGCCGGCTGTCCGGGGGAAGACGGAGTTCGCCTCTGAGCTAAATCAGGGTGGGCCCCATATGTTACCGGGCCATCCAACTCGACGGCTGTGGAATGCCGGGCCCTGGGCATTAGGGACAGATGTTTTCGCAGCGTCTGTATAAACGGCAGCAGCCTCTTCAAAGCTGGGTCAAACGCCCTGCTCTATTGCACACATTCGCTTGGGTTGCATGTAAAGCAGGGAATGCGCCAGTTGTATGTCATGCACAAGCGCGGACCAAAGAACGATAGGCAATAGGCATGGCTGATGAACCTGGACGCTGCAGTGACGCACTGCCTCTATCAGACCTACACCGAACAGTGATTGGCTCGCCGACTGACCCGGACCGAACAGCGACTGACTCACCGACAGACCCGGACCGAACGGTGACTGACTGCGATTGACAGACCCTTGCCGAGCAGTGACTGGGTGGCGCTGGTCGCCTCTGACGGACCGGTATCTGAGCATGGCGCTCCACCGCACAAATGATGCCGTATTTTGGCAGCCGAGTCTGTGACGAGCGGACTGCTGTCACGGCCGTGCCGGCGCGCTGTCAGCTGTCACCCCACGAGCCGATACGACTGACGAGCAGGCCGCGGCGGGACAACAGCGACCGGTCCCTCCGTCACGGGGAAAATCGACGGCAATGACCTGTTCCCTCTTATTGAACTTTAATGACGCATTCTCACTTGATGATATTATCACTTAATACGCGTGAGATTATTTCATTTGTTGAAGATTTGAGTTAAGTATGGCTTCACTTGCCTGGCTCAGGTATTTGATAACTTCCAATTTGGATTTGAGTTACGCATCCATGCAATTTAAAGTCACAGTAAATGCACCTTTCAGCATGTTTTCTGATGAACGCCGTCCCGTTTACGTTTAATCGCCGGACTGACCGGAGTGTCGGTCTGATTTGCTTTGTAGGTATTGGTGCTCTTCCTTCTCTGTTTCCATTGAGTATCTATCTGACCCCCGTTTCTGTCGTCTGCTCTTGTGTCGGTGTCCTCCCCGTTCATCTGGTTCCATCACTACCATTTTAGTGAACATACAATTGTCCCACTGATCCCCCGTGTCTCTGGTTTGCTCTCTGCTGTTGGTCTCCCTGCTCCGTTTCCACTGAATTACCGTTTGGTGACGGCCGTGTCTCCGGTTTCAGTCACGGACCAGTCGGGTGGCCAGCACAGCACCATGCCGTAAGTATAGATCGGCGGTTGTCCGTTCTACCCGTGTCCCCGTCACCGCCGTGTGACCCTCCGTCGGTCAAATCGCTGCTCATGACCGTCCGTTGTAATCGAGGCTCCTCTGTCACCCCTCTGGTCGTTTGGAGGCAGTCGGACTGTGCATCAGTGCTGTTATTTTGTCATGCATGTGTCAACTCTGTAACTTAAATGTAAACCCATAGCTGATTCGCTTGATAGTTGCTAATCGATCGGCTTGCGACTTCATTATTATTTCGTAAGTTGATGTTGACTATTTTGAGGATCGGAAGCTCGTCTTAACCACTATCCCTGTGAAGTGTATCGAAGCTGTGGTAATAGCCGTCTGCCGAAAGGAACACTTCATGTGTGCAGGGTGTAGCCAGCGGATCAAAACATTTCTTTCGCGCATAGGTACTCTGGCTAACATCGCCTCTATCACACTTCCCTACCAACATAGCTGATAAGCTGACTGTTTTTTTTAACAAGTTGTTTTCCCGACACTTCTACATATTTGGTATGCTCACTCATTTCTCTACCTAGTTATTGCTCTAGGGACAATTCAGAGCATTTGTCACCCTTACTGGAGGATACTGTAACTGCACAGGAGAGCGGCAAAGTTGCTACTTCTCCCAGTTTGGGAACTTCTTGGCATTGGTTTAGAGGTATTTTCCAATGATTTGGGGTATGCAGACTTATTCTTTCGATACTGACACCCGATCCTTTCACCATGCTGATACCTAGTTATCGGTATTTGACGAAATTTAACGTTTTCTTTCTCTTGTTCAGGGCCGGCGGCCCCGCGTCTCCGCCAGTGTTTGAGCAGATCTTCAAGAATGCCCGTTTCGCCCAGGGAGGCAATGCTCTGTTCGAGGGCCGGGTTCGGGGCAACCCGAAGCCCAAGATCTCATGGACGCGCCAGGGCAGACCCATTCAGGGTAAGTACGCGACCCCCCCCCCTCCCCACCACGCATCACTTAGCAAATATTGAGTCTCCGAAGTCACGGGTCATTGCAGTGGCGCGGGAACCGGGGGGGGGGGCTGGCGGGGGCTGAGCCCCCCAGCTTCTCGGCTGGGGGGGCTCGTAATGTATTTGAGCCCCCCCCAGCTGGAAGAATCGAAATCGGAAATCTACCAACACACTTTCATAGATTCATACGTAGGCGCGGGAACAGGGGGAGGGGCAGTGGGGGAAGCTTGCCCCCACAACTCTGCGGCCGTGGGTCATGAGGCCAGGAACCGTTGGGCAGCTTGTCCTCCCCAAATTAGGAGTTGTGGGTCACAAAGGAAGAAAGCATGTAAGTGAAAAAATCCACCTCTTTCACTGGCTCGGCAACTCATTTGGCAGATTAAAACCTTTACTCCAGGTTACCAAAACGGTAGTTTCTTCACTCAGCTGAGACGGAATACCTCACTTTTTTTGCAAATATTTTCTCTTTTTTTTGTTGAAAAGGCCAAGGTCTAAAAAATAAGTGGCCTAAAACCGGTGAGAAAACTAGATTTGGGGCTACCCTAGGTTGATCTCTATTATGGTTCAGCCCCCCAGTCTGGAAGAAGTTCCCGCGACACTGGGTCATTGAGATAGATGAAACACCCATCAATCCAGCGTGGCCATCCCCCAACGGCCGACCGGCTCGGTCCACCTTGCTGCACCGGCCGGCCCGGCTGCGGGCCTGCGGCTGTCGGCCGCCGGCCCACGGCTGAACGGTATGCTGCGCCGCATTACACGCCGGCCGTGCGGCACAGCCTACCCAGTCAGTGGTAGGATCGGCGGCGCGCCGCGCCGGTCCCCGCCGTCCCGTACGGTCGCGCCGAGCCGTCTGGCAAGGAGGCCGGTACCAGCGGAAATTTATGAAGGGTGCCGTGTATGACACGCCGAGTTAACGACTAACAACCAGCACTGGCACTGAGAGTGGTGCGAACTAGCGATATTTTGGTAGCTTGCAGAGGGTCACTTATGACGTCATAAGTCAGTGATCTGACCTGACCCGAAAATGCCGTTGGGCCACAAGACACGGCTTGGATCAAAGGTCAGTTATTCTAACCTCACCTCTTTTTTCGACATGCCCTGAGCAATAAGAAAAGAAACATCTAGTCGGATACCATATCCTCCAGCCTGCCTTTCCCGGCAGACCCTCGATCTGCGGCACTGACTGATGTCGGTCTGTCGTGTGGCCAGTGGCGTCTGACAGCGGACCCGGTGGCCGGCGCCGACTGAGGGGTGAACCCTCCCCTATCCGCCGTCTGCCAGCCGGGCCTCTGACCCGCCGTAAACAAAACACCTGTGGAGCGCGCCCGGTGTCTGGATAGCGGGCGGCCGGCTGATGCCGGGCCGCGGCTCCTAACATGGCTGCCGGCGGCGGCCGCTGGAAGACGATACCGGGCCGGCAGGCCGATCACCGGGGCCGGCTCGGCCGTGCCGCTGTTGTTGTTGACAGGCACAGGGGACCAGTCAGTCCGGCTATTTCGGCGGCGGGAACAGCTGACGTGGCGCCCGGCTCCAGCCGAGTGTGTCATAGGGAACCGCAGCACTCGGCCGCCTAAATCAATAGAGACGTGTTTTTCGCGGTATTTATCGTCCCTCGGTGTCTAGAACAGCAACACAGCTTATTGATGTGACTGGTGGTATCACCCATCAACTCTGGAACATGCATAACACGATGTCACATTAACTTGCAATGGCTTAGCAATAACAGAGAGTCCCAGCCCAACATATCTTGCTAACATCCGCACTTGGAGGGGTGAGTGTTTTTGACCACACACAAGTTTCTTTTCATCATCTGTTAACTTTTGATCTTAGGGTGGGTAATGTCAAGTTCAGTAGCCCTGCGTCTATAAGCTTTGGGATTGTATCAATACGACGGCCTATTTTCTAGAAGTGTCTGACGTTGTATGTACAGTGTGTCTAAAAAGAATGTACCGTCGCCACTACGTGGCGCTGGTGTCGCGAGCCGGTAGTTGGCTGAATCCGCACCAGACCACACATTCCCAAGCGCTAGGTGACAGCTGCGCAGCGGCCGGTAGTAGCGTAAGCCCGAACCTTCGTGACACGACCCCGGGGGGGGGGGAGGGATGGCAGCGGGCGGGGTAGCGCGTGTAGGGAGGGGTGCTCCAGCAAGCTGGCAGTTGTCGCGGCCAAAGGTCAAGGGGTCACACGCCAAGCGAACGGACGCTGATGTGGGTTCGTGGGGATCATGAACTTGTGTGTGGTAGGTGCGTCTTGCGATGCACGGGTGATACGCCAGGTCTAAGCCAAAGGATTCAGGGGAGAGCTGAAGCAAAACATCTGGTCAACATATGGCGAATAATGGTGCTGAAAAATGGAAAGTATGGGTCAATGCAAGCCTTCATGACTATAAACAACTTTTCTGAGGACGCAAAGGCCAGCATTGAATAACGATATCCGGATCGAAATTAGCAATCATTTATAATTAAATGCCGAACTAATAGCGCTGCAAAACCCTCCTAGTAAATTGTCAAGTCGGATTATACCCACTTGAATTAAACTATCCTAAATAAAATTGTTAATTAACTTTCTAACACTGACGTTCTTTATCATACGATAAGTATGGGGTTAACCAAGATTCAGCATCTTCCGCGTTCAAACAATCACCTGTAAGGCTAGAACATTAACCCGCGCCCCGTTGGGCTCTGCCGAGCAACGCGGTCTGATGGGGGAGGGGGCCATGTGCCCCCCCCCCCTCAGATCTCGAGAACCACGCAACATAGCGACAAGCGGTAAACGGTGTTGGATAGCCCCAGCGGGGAACTACCTTGTGACCCAATTTCATTGACCTCGGTCAAACCGATGACGTCACAGGTCAGGTCAAAGGTCGAATTTTCACCGTTTACAGGCATTTCAAGAAATGCGTTGTAAAATCGAGTAAAATGCATTTCATTGAAAATAATCGATGGAGAAATGTTCTTCAAACACATATTTTGCTATTTGAGGTCACTGATACCAGGTCAGGTCACAGAGGTCAGGTCACTGGGGGGTCACAATATGAAAGTGTCGTGTGATACATGTTTTATGGTCCATTTTACATGACAAATGCGATTATGTGGGTCAGACAGACTTTAGGGCCAGCTTAGGTCACGTTTTGGTCAAGGTCAGGTCAAGGTCAGGTCAAATTAGGTCAAATTTCAAAGTTGATATTTTTGCATAAAATGGGTATCGATTCGATGCAGCTCGTCACGGGGAGTTCAATGGTGGTCTCCGTTTTGCGCTAAGAGGTCTAGAATTGCTAAAAATTGAGTTCAAAAATTTGACGTCATCAATTTTTAACATTTTTTTCGCTATAACTTGGCCAAAAAAGAGGTATCGATCTAAAATTTGGTATGTATATCGAAGAGCGCAGGGACTATCACACATATTCCGTTTTTTTCGAAATTCGAAAACTTTTTGGAAATTTTTTGAGTTTTTCTGAAAAAATCAATTTTTTTGATTTTTGGGGGTCAAAATCCCAAAATTTTGAAAATCCGAGATAGCAGTTTTGTAGCGCCGTCTTTTCTCTACACAACCACATAAAGAACTTTAAAATTGCTTGTTAACTGTAGAATTGGTGAGCGTTTAAGATGTCATGTTTTTTGCTCAATTTTGCTCGAACATGACCTCAGTTTGACCTCAATAACTCCTGACCTGAGGTGACCTGTGACTTGAAATTTTGTGTGAAGGTGTCAAATTGATGCCCGGTAAGGTACCCAAAATTTGGCGGCGCTGCGCGCCGCCGTTTTCTCGCTATTTAAGAAAAACCACAGGGGGGCCAAAATGGCCCCCCATCAGGGCGCGGGTTAATGGCCAGGCAAAAACATGGTCGGGATTTGATTAACCGGATTATAAGTCGATTCTTTTTAGTCGGGATTTGATAAGTCGGATTTTTTTACGCCAACCGCATTTTTAAGTCAAGTCAGGTCACTGATCTATGACGTCATAAATGAGCAGTCCTAAAATGAACTGTGTGAAACTGTCCTAAACTGTCCTAAAATGAACATTTTAGGACTCTGCTAAAATGTTCCAACTTCGCAACACCCTCAGTGCAGAGCTTTCATAGGGAGATGAAACTTACCTACAGGATCTTATAGTATGATCGAGAGGTCTCACAACTTGTATAAATGTATATCTAGGATTTTCTGAGGGGTCGCCTGAGATCAGGTCAGTCTCTCACCATTAAAAGTCAGGGGAATGTGGAAATTGCTAGTTTGGTCCGGAAATGATATACAACTATCTCAAATTCTCAAGCACACGGAATCGTGATTTCATGCGCTCCTTGCAAGGTCTGATGCTTCAATTTTGCTTTGTTGATCTTGCGTGACGTCATTTATCACATTACTAAGGCTATCAGTTTTTCGTCAATAACTCCCGATCAACTAAAGCTACCGAGTCGATAAAGCCACTAATGGACATGAAAAGACCTGCCGAATCGATTGATATGCAACATGACCTCCTTAGACCAGCTTCGTGACCTGACGGGCTGTGACCTGACCTTGACCCGAGGTTAACACCTTAACTCTCGCCCGTATTGGTGTTTTTCCAGCCTCAAACGTATAAGGGTCCGTTGGAACCCCCCCCCCCTTGCCGTTTCGCCCCTGATCGAGCTAGAGCTTCGCGGAAAAAAAACGAGCGTGTTGGCCGTGACGAGAGAAGTCGATGATACCCAATTTTAAGGTCCTAGCCCTCGCCCGTATAGGGGGGGGGGGTCGAACGGACCCCCCCCATGGTTTTTCGCGAATAACTCGCGTAATAAGCGGCCGATCGCGACGAAACCTTCAGTACCCTCGCGTTCAACAATTTTACACCTACCCTGAAAATTTCATGACCCTGACCCAAATGACCTTTGACCTGTGACCTACTTTTCGAGACCATGTTTGGCTGGAATCGCGATTCGGCGTATGTCGGCTCGCATTAGCCGCGCGTTTGCAGTCTTTTCGTGGTTTCAAGCGTTCAAACATGTGATATCATGTTGCCCCCATGCATTAGGGTGGGTGTCAAGGTCACCTGAAGGTCAAGTCAGGTCATTGACCTTTGATGACCTCGGTTCACTTTTTCGAGTTTTACATGTTTCTAGGCCAGTTTTTGGAGCTGAATTCGAATTTAGCAACCATATGAACATTTACGAAGTAGTTTTGGTGCCTTCGTAACATGTTACGAAGCTTTCAGAGGCGGTTGCCACCTACTACGAATACCTTACTGGTTGACCTGACCTGACCTGACCCGAACTGGCCTAAATACATGAAGACATCATCTGTGATCAAAACTAACATGATATTCGTGATCAGCACCCCGAAAAACCCCATAGCAGTCACACTTTACGACGTTCTAACAGGTCCCGATTTTCCCGCCTTTGGGGTCATTGACCTGACCTGCAAGGTCAACCAATGACCTAGGACCTTAAAATTGGGTATCATCGGCTTCCTCTCGTCACGGGCAACACGCTCGTTTTTTCCGCGAAGCTCTAGCTCGATCAGGGGCGAAACGGCAAGGGGGGGTCCAACGGACCCCCCCCCCCCTTATACGTTCGCGGCTGGAAAAACACCAATACGGGCGAGGGCTAGGTCATCGGTTGACTTTCCAGGTCAGGTCAATGACCCAAAAGTCTGGGAAATCGGGACCTGTTAGAAAGTCGTAAAGCGTGGCTGCTATGGGGTTTTCAGGGTGCTGATCACGAATATCATGTTAGTTTTGATCACAGATGATGTCTTCATGCATTTAAGCCAGGTCGGGTCAGGTCAGGTCAGGTCAGGTCAGGTCAACCAGTAAGGGTATTCGTAGTAGGTGGCAACCGCCTCTGACAGCTTCGCAACATGTTACGAGGGCACCAAAACTACTTCGTAAATGTTCATATGGCTGCTAAATTCGAATTCAGCTCCTAAAACTGGCCTAGAAACATGTAAAACTCGAAAAAGTGAACCGAGGTCATCATAGGTCAATGACCTGACCTGACTTTCCGGTGACCTTGACACCCACCCTAATACATGGAAGCAAGATCATATCCCATGTTTGAACGCTTAAAACCACGAAAAGACTGCAAACGCGCCGCTAATGCGAGCCGACATACGCCGAATCGCGATTCCGGCCAAACATGGTCTCGAAAAGTAGGTCGCAGGTCAAAGGTCATTAAGGTCAGGGTCATGACAATTTCAGGGTGGGTGTAAAATTGATTAACGCGAGGGTACTGAAAGTTTCGTCGCGATCGGCCGCTTTTTACGCGAGTTATTCGCGAAAAACCGAGGGAGGGGTCCGTTCGACCCCCCCCCCCTCTATACGGGTGAGGGTTAAGTTGATCTCACCCGAAGAAAAAGTATACCATTCGACACGCCTGAGCTAGACAAACACGATGCTGCTAAAATCGCGGATCTGCGATCATTTTTAGCGAAGTTATTTACCAAAAACCGAACCTGTGCCGTGGGCCACTTGACCTGACCTCCGAAGTCATTGGCTGACCCTGGTCCCTAAATCGGAGACCAATCGCTGCATTTCGTAACGGCGCACACGATCGTTTCTTTCGTGAGGCTCTAGCTCAATTAGGAGCGAATCGGCGAAGGGGGTTGTTTCCTCACTTCCAACCCCCAACGTCCCCTCGGTATTCAGAAAACCTGAAGGTCCGGTGAGAGTTAAAACGTTTCTCCTGAACGAGGAAGAAATGTGAAAGTCAAAGCTCTATAGACGTCCTGTAAAAGTGGCCATAATAATAAATTCGTTAGAAATAAGATGCTTTTTAAACGACTTCCTCATATAAAATCGGGTGTTGGGACCAATCTTATAAACGCTTTAGAATGGACAGGGTGTCACTGGCTAAAGTTTGGGTGCAGAAAACGGCTATTACCTAAATGCAAAATGGTTTTCATGCATTTCAGTCAATTGTATATTGTCGGTCCCAGTGGCCGAGCTAAAAAAAATCGGTAGTGTTTTGCATCTTTTACGCCCTAAGAAACTACACCATCTATCGAAGTGGGCGGGCTTATTTGAATGGGAGGGCGCATTATGCACGAATCGTGTGCTTTCGTTTATTTTGGACTGTATTTTACCACATCCACTGCTTGTATCACTATTAATATTATCTAATGCCGTGAATACGACAGCATTCCATTTATAAGATTGGGCCAATGGAGTCGCGCCCCGCGAGCTCGGTTTTCCGCTGGGCCGCTACAGGCCAGGAAGTCGGTCTTCGCCTGAGGGCAGGACAAAGGTCAGCGAGGGAGCGAGGGGTCAGCCAGGTATCGCCCAGTGCCGAGCGAAAGCCGCTCCCTCCCCTCTCTTCCCCTCTTCTCCCCTCCCCACCTCGGTATAGATGGGGAGGGACCGAACTGCCAATGACATGCGAGCGGTCAAGGCCGCTCGCGCGGTAGCGACCCTGGCGGCCGGGTGCCGCAACTGGGATTCAGCCAAGTTACCGATTCGTCTCCTGTGGGAGAGTCAAACCAGGGGACATACTTTTTAGATATACTGTACATTGCGTTGGGTCCCCACTGTGCCAGCAATTCGTATTGCTCGGATTTGCATGTGTCTGTGACCTGGGATCAGGTCGGATCCGTGACCTCATTACTTGAAAATACAAAGCAATGGAGACCAGAACAAAATTCCAGAATTTATAGGCGTCATGGCTCATCATTTGCCTGAGCTAGTAAAGCTATTTTTGTTTTCATGTTATTAGTCAGCGCCATTCGTTTTCTTTTCCAATGTCATACCGTGAATCCATAAAACCCAATCGTCTTCGTCGTCATATAAACCCCAATCGGTCGTGGCGGTGTGTCCTATTTACCTGTGTCTGGGTGTCCACAGCGTCCAACAAGTACCAGCTGAGACACATATGGCGGTGTGTCCAATTTACCTGTGTCCGGGTGTCCACAGCGTCCAACAAGTACCAGCTGAGGCACAATCAGCAGACGGGCGAGGTCAGCCTGCTCATCAGCCGCATCGGGCCCGGCGACGAGGGCGAGTACACGTGCATGGCCACCAACCAGTACGGAGAGGCCGTCTGCACCGTCTACATTCAGCCTGAGGGTGAGTGAGAGGACGGGGGGGGGGGCTTCTGTACCGTCTACATTCAGCCCGAGGGTGAGTGAGCCGTGAGCAGAGGGGACGAGACGGGGTGCATCTGCATCGTCCATCCTCGGCACAGCAACGTCAACGCGAATAATGCTTTGCGGAGCGATGAGTACGATAAAAAATGACCTGCTCGGTGTCTGGATAGATTAATGCTTAGTCATCAGCAGGTTTGTTCTGCGACAAGTTGTACGCATAACGCACGGCTGTTGACCATTTATATAGGAGTGCGATTAGTAGAACGAGACGAGTGCTCGATTCAGTGGCTGGGACGTTTTGTTGGGTGTGCCGGTAATTACTGACGTCACGTCGTATCACACCTTCACATGCGTCGTTTCCTCCGGCAGCCGCCTTCCTCCAGCAGCAGCAGCAGACCACCCAGCAGCAGCAGCAGCAGCAGATGGTCTCTCAGCAGCAGCAGCAGCAGCTGATGCAGCAGCAGCAACAGCAGCAGCGGGGCGGCGTGCAGCGGCGCATGGTCGGCGGCCAGCAGCACATGATGCAGATGCGCACAGAGACCACCTACGAGACGGACTCGTCGGGTCACACGACCACCAGCACGCGCACGGACCGCCAGTACCACACCACGCCCTTCAGCTCCTCCGTCGAGGTCAGTCGTGTGTGACAGGTGGAGTCGGCTGGAGTGAAGGACGATCAACCATGATGTTTCGCTACTTTGTTGTGACGGTACATGAAAGGATCTGTCTTCATTATGCTTTCAAACATCACTGTTTATAATATAACCGCCTGTGAGGCGTTGGACAAAAATACTTTTTTCCGTATTTATTTAGAACGTTTTTTTTTTCATTACTTTCATTTTTAGTCTCGATGGTTCGTTGATAAGTAGCACACGGCCGTTGTCCCACCCGTGGCGCTGTCGTTCCGTCTGCCCCTCGGCTGTCCCGGCTCTGTCTGTGTCATCCCGCCGACCCGCCCCTCCCGCTGTGACCCGCCGTTCGGCCGCAGGAGTTCCGCGTGGACACGTTCGAGTACCGGCTGATCCGCGAGTCCGAGTTCCGCGAGGCGCTGACTCGCCGCCAGCCCGGCGAGCCGGAGGTGGTGGTGTCGGCGCGCCGGCCCGGCCCGCTCAGCCCGCCGCAGCTGCAGGGCAAGCCGCGCGCCAGCAAGGTGCAGGAGGGCGGCTCGGCCACCTTCCAGGCGCGGCTGGCCGGCAACCCGCCGCCGCGCATCACCTGGTTCAAGGACGGCGCGCGCGTGCGGCCCGGCGCGCGCGCCACTATCTCTGAGCAGGACTCTGTGGTGTCGCTGCACCTGCAGCAGGTGCAGCCGCAGGACACGGGCCACTACACGATGCTGGCCGAGAACCAGGCCGGCTGCGTGGTGAGCTCCGCGTACCTGGCCGTGGAGCCGACCACGCCGCAGTATGGCCAGCACCAGGTCACCCAGCGCACCGACCACAGGTCAGACACCGGATGTACAGGGAGGGAAGGGGAGGGGGTCACCCAGCGCACCGACCACAAGTCAGTCACCGGATGTACAGGGAGGGGAGGGTAGGGGTCACCCAGCGCACCGACCACAGGTCAGTCACCGGATGTACAGGGAGGGGAGGGTAGGGGGTCACACAGCGCACCGACCACAGGTCAGTCACCGGATGTACAGGGAGGGGAGGGTAGGGGTCACCCAGCGCACCGACCACAGGTCAGTCACCGGATGTACAGGGAGGGGAGGGTAGGGGTCACCCAGCGCACCGACCACAGGTCAGGCACTGACGCAGGGAAGGTCATCGAGATGGATGGCTGAGAGAACCCCCCCCCCCCCCCTCCTGTCGAAGTCAGCCCTGTGTATGATCACGCCCTCCCGAAACCCATAGCCCGGTGTTTGACCGCGTGTTCCACTGAAGCCAGCCCGCCGTCTGACCGCGCCCCACCGGGCTCGCTCCCTCAGCTAAGTCTGACCGCGCCCCCGCCGCTCGCTCCCACAGCCAGGTGACGCAGATCGAGGAGGTGGCCGAGGGCAAGGCGCTGGCGCCCAGCTTCCTGAAGGTGCCCTCCGACACCGAGGTGCAGGAGGGGAAGCTCGTCCGACTCGAGTGCCGCACCGCTGGCAAACCGGCTCCCGACGTGAGTGACGCGCCGTGACGGGACGCGCTTCCACTGGAGGGGATAAACTGCCGGACACCAAGGCTGGGGGAGGGGAGGGGAAAGACGGACGGGCTGCGGTTTTCGCGACGAACGTGAACGATTTTTACTTAATCGATGTGCGTGCGAACGAGTGAGCGCACAGATATGGTATCGGCGCGCTGACACGTTCAAGCATTTATACGTCACGCTCTTGCGAGATACGTTACGATATACGCCATCGTATCTCGCAGGATTCACAGAACGAATTTAGCCTGTACTGTTTACTATACGGTGAATTAACTACGACGGTGGATTGTCCTGGCCGTGTTTCTCCCGGGACAGAGGTGCTCTCCTTGTCGGCAGATCGCGGGCGTGGGCGGACGATTTATCAGTATCCCGGCTGTGGCCTGGCACGGGGCCCGTTTACGTTCGGTGTGGGTTTCGGCGCGTCTGCAGCGGCCGGGCCGTCTGCAGTGGGGCAGCCGGGGGCGCGGCCGCGGAGACGGATGGTCCCTGCCACCCGACCGCGGGCGTAAACAGGTGTTGTGGCGGCGCGCTGACAGCCGAGATTAAAAGGAGGCGCAGATTATGAGACACGCCGGCCCCAGTGTAATGTGTGACGTCCTATGAACGGGGTTACCTGTGCGCAGTTTCTGCCGGCGCCGGCCGCTGGAATCTCGTGACCTGTAAAAATAGGCGGCGTCCCGGATAGGGTTCGGCTGGGCGCAGAGATCTGTGCCGGGAGGAGGGTGTTGCCAGCGCTCCGCCGACTGGAGCGGAACGGGCTCCCTCTCCGGTCCGCGAGCCGCTCCAACAACAATATATAAACAGTCGGTAACCGAAACGGCTGGCACTGCCCGCCAGATGCCTCCGATAATATCCAGGGTCACTCCGTTCACGGAACATTGTTTGACACCAGCCCCTAGAAGGATTTCGGTGACATTGGCTCTCGCGAAGCCAGTCCCGAATATTGAAACTGCGCTCTCTCGATGTCACTCCGTGGTCGCTCCTGCAGTCTGCCTCTCGGCGATACGACTCTCATATCCTTCACCATCCGTGATCTCGGCGCCTCTCTCCACCTTCGCAGGTGATCTGGTACATCAACGGCTACCCGGTGGCCAACGACGCCACGCACAAGATGCTCATTAACGAAGCCGGCAACAACGCGCTGATGATCACGAGCGCCAGCCAGCGCGACGCCGGCACCGTCACCTGCGTGGCCAGGAACAAGTCGGGCGAAGTCAGCCACCAGGTGGGCATTAACTGATAGCTCCTTCAACCGTACAGGAAAACTGCCGCAGCTCATGCTCAGTTATTATTTCCCAAGTCGCCAGTCGCTGCGTCTGCCCATCAGACCCTGACCGCCGCCCTACGCCGTCAGATCACGCTGAGCGTGCTGGAGAAGGAGCAGGTGATCGCGCCCAAGTTCGTGGAGCGGTTCCAGACGGTGCGCGTGCAGCCGGGCGAGGCGGTGTCGCTGAGCTGCCGGGCGGTGGGCGCGCCAACGCCTCGCATCACGTGGCAGAAGGACGGCCAGCCGCTGCAGCCGTCCGACAGCGTGCACATCATCACCGACGGCGGCGCCTCCATGATCGACATCCCCTGGTGGGTGGCAGCCGCGGGGCGGGGCCGGTCAGCCCGTATCTGTCCCCCGGCGGGCAGAGGGGACTGGCGAGCAGGCCGGCGATTCTGACAGCTCTTGGCGGGTGGCAGCCGCGGGGCGGGAAGGGGTCGGGTCATGCCCGGTGCTCATCATTGTTGGTTATTGCCTCACCAATTATGACTAAACCGGTAAAACAGGTTGTTTGGACTTCCAGTCGCAGTTGTGTTGTAGATTCAGGATAGCTTGCCGCAAACATTAGCTGACAAGCGCAGGTCTCCTTGTTGTTATGAGTTACTCCATATGACGGTTACGTCTCCCGCACAGCGTGCGGCCAGAGGACAGCGCCTGGTACCAGTGCACGGCACAAAACGCGGCCGGCAGCACGGCCACGCGCGCCAAGGTGTACGTGGACCAGGGTCCGGCGCCTCCGGCCGCCGAGCCGTGGCGGCTGCACCTGCCCAAACCGACCAAGGTCAGTCCCGCGGCCGGCCCGATATCGGGGAACGGGTACTGCTGGGAACTAGTGTTTGGATTTGCTGTAAATGTTGATGGCGATACGGCCCTAACGGAATTCAGACACGTACATGGTTATCGTTAAAGCAAATGTGATGTGTTATATCGATTGGGATAATCGAGCCTTTTCATCCCACTCGATAACTCCCTCAGCTGGCATATGTGATTCGACTCTTCCCAGACTCACCCCCCGCCCTCCCCGGCCCAGGTGATCGCGCCCGAGGCGCCGCTGGAGCCGGAGATCGTGCACCTGAAGCACGTGGAGCGGTCGCGGCCCAAGCCGCAGCGGCCGGAGGAGGAGCAGCCCTCCCAGCCGCCGCAGTTCACGCACCCGCTGCGCGACACGGCCGTAGCAGAGGGCGACCGCATCCTGCTCGAGGCCCGCGTGGTGCCGCTCGGCGACCCCACCATGAGGATCGAGTGGTACATCGACGGCCAACCGCTCTCCGCTAGTGAGTGGGCAGAATGCCTTCGGTGGCAGCAGAGGGATGGTGGGGTGGGCGGCCCTGGAAAACGGACGAGAGTTTACTCAACATGCGGTTGATAGCTGGAATAATCCCCGTTTGTTGGAGTTTCTAGAGTACCTATGTAGCAGTGATCGTGCGTCGGATGTTCTTTCCATAGTTGGCTGACGCCCCTGCCCCTGCCCCGCTGCAGGCTCGCGCGCCACGCTGACTCACAAGTTCGGCTACGTGTCGCTGAGTCTGCTGACGGTGATCCAGCAGGACACGGGCGTCTACACGTGCCGCGCCGTCAACCAGGCCGGCTACGACGAGACCTCGTGCCGCGTCTCCGTCGGACGTGAGCACCCGCGCCGGGGATGGGGGGGGGGGATGAAGGAGGTGGCGTCATTTTAAATTGAGCTCGATTTTGCCGGCAAACCGTAACTACATACAAACTAGAGATTTTGTAGTGTAATCGCTAGAAGATGCGTCGTTTGTCTTTATCTATTAATTTTTAGGTTCCATTTACCAACCAGTAAGGTTAATTGGTGAAGCTGTTCGATCCCCTAACGATACCTTTCCTCCTCGTCTGCCTCGGCAGCTCGTGCCACGATCGAGACGGCGCCGCAGCACCCGGAGAGTCTGGAGCACATCCAGCTGCTGGAGGACGCCAACCGCTACATGCGGACCGTCCAGGTGGAGGAGCAGTACCAGAAGCCGTACTTTGTGCGCGAGCTGCGCGACGTGCTCGGCGTCAACGAGGGCGGACTGGCCCACTTCGAGGCGCACGTGGAGCCCGTTAACGACTCCACCATGCGCATCGACTGGTTCAAGGACGGCAAGCCCATCACCGCCAGTGAGTGTGGGAAGAGCCGAGATGGCCACTACCGATTTTGGGGTCATATGGTTCCCTCACTACCGCCTTTGTGTGTGAGGAGACGATCCCCGTGTGACTGCCGCCGGCTGTACCCTGTCTGTATCGGAGTGTGTGACTGACTGTCCGTCGGCAGGCTCACGGATCTCCAACATCAACAACTTCGGTCACGTGGCCCTGCACATCAGCCAGCTGCGCGCCGAGGACTCCGGCGTCTACACCGTGCGGGCCACCAACAAGGTACGTACGTACGTGCGCGGCACGGGGGACCTCGCCGGCAGGGTGGAGCGGAACTCGAGGGACGGGGCTACGCCTTTTTTGTTATTTGGAATAGCAGGACAACTCACCGTGATATATTCTTATTGAACGAAGTATTGTCTCATAGTTGCTCAGTTTTATTTGTATTGTAATGGCAGTCTCGGATTGTGTCTGCCACAACTGAGGTCACCGTGAGTGCGTCTGAGTGTGATTCAGGTGGGTTTACCCTGTTGTGCTGACCGGTCCGTGCCCTCGTCTCGGCAGGTGGGCGAGGCGTTCAGCCAGGCGCAGCTGGTGGTGCACGTGCAGGAGACGGTCACCGGCGACCTGGGCATCCCCGAGCAGCAGCAGTACATCCAGTCGGTGGAGCAGCTCGAGGCCTACAAACAGGCCATCCAGAAACAGGTCAGCGCCGGAACGGCGGGCGGACGGGGGAGGGCCTTCGTGACAAAGGTTATTTGGTTAAAGCCGGGACCCGGACCATTGCATCAGTCGACTTGTGTGACCTCTGTGACCCGCAGGTGACCTGTGTGACACCAATGACCCGAGGGTGACGGCTGACCTCTGACCCGTGTGACCTCTATTATGTACCCGCAGGTGACGGCTGACCTGGCGGACACACAGACGGCGCCGCGGTTCACGCAGCCCATCCGGGACGCGCCCGATGTGCCGGAGAACGGCACCGCGCACTTCGAGGGCCGGCTGGAGCCGACCGGTGACTCCACACTGCGGGTCGACTGGTTCAAGGACGGAAAGCCGCTGGAAGCCAGTGAGTGGCACGCCGAACACGGACGGCACTGGCACCTTTCTTTGGACTGAGAATATGGGCTGCAGGAAACTCCTACGCCTCTGTGTTAAACTCAATATTATTTTTAGTGCCATTTATTTCAGTTTAGGGCTTTTTGCCTCAAGTGCAAAAATACCTACCAGATAAAGGTAATTTAGCTCACACAAAGCAGTGCTGCCGCTGGTATACCAATTAACTTTCTGTTCCCAGGCTCCCGGATCACCACGTTCTTCAACTTTGGCTACGTCAGTCTGACCATCAAGCAGGTGACCATATACGACACGGGCGTGTACACGTGCGTGGCGCGTAACGCGGCGGGCCAGGCGCAGTGCCAGGCCTCGCTGCAGTGCGTCGGCCGGCAGGACATCGTCACCGAGAGCCAGGTGGAGAGCATGCAGCAGTTCCAGTATCTGGAGGACTCGAGGTGAGGCGGCGGCAGACTGACGGCCGCCGGGCGGGTGGGGGCGGTGACGCCGGCTCGGTGTTATCGACTGGGTGTGTCTGGGCTCGCTGCTGCATTAGCCGGGACGTGTCGTCACACACTGTTTGCTGCTATTACGAGCTTGGCATCACGCCAGCGTGCCTTGTACAACTAGCAGATCACTCAAACTCTACCGGGTACCGGGTTTAGTTTTCGCAACATTGCTCCTCGTGCGCATTACATTGCATCCACTCTCGGCGACTCTCCTGAATCGTTGGGGGAGGGGGGGGGGGGGGTCAATGACACGCGCCGGTACAGAATTCACCTGGGCCGCAGTTAGAAAGCTCATAAAAATATTGTGTCTTTCAACGAGCAACCGGCTACCAAAGTGCACTGACGTGTCATTGCTGCAGAAGTTAAACTGGTGATAAAACCGCTACCCACCACCTCCACTCCGCTCCCACCATGTGTCGAGGTGGCCCCGTGACGAGCAATATATCTGACCGCGCGCCGGCCCGCCGCCGCAGCCGGCACCAGCGCCTGGTCGAGGAGGACGTCTCCGTCACCAAGATGCCGCCCAAGTTCCTCGGACCGCTGAAGGGCACCACCGTCATCAGGGAGGGCCAGCGGGCGCACTTTGAGACGCGCGTCGAGCCGCAGAACGACGCCACTATGAAGGTCCGCGGGCACTTTGTACTAATCTGTGGGCGGGATCGGGAACTGGGACAGAGGAGTCTAACGTTCATTTAACTGCCAGAAGCATCACATTTCATGTCTGCCGGTAGCTGTTTAGATTTGATAATTTTATGATTAATGATTTAATGATAATTGTATAATAATTATTTCAACTGTGACTTCAACTAATCCAGCTTTCTTGGGCGTTCTTTTTTATTGTATGCTACTGTGAAAGTCCAATTCTAGCTTATAACAAGTGGTTTTAGCTTATTTACACTTTAATTACGCCACCCAGACGCATATGGCTGCCGTCTGCCACCTTTTTTAACGTCATCTCGCCGCCGCCCTTCAACCCCAGACGGAGTGGCTGCACAACGGCCGGCCGCTGGCCCCCGCCAACCGCATCTCGACGGTGCTCGACTTTGGCTACGTGGCGCTGGACATCACCGGGGCCAAGCCGGAGGACGCCGGCACCTACACACTGGTGGCCAGGAACGCGCTGGGCCAGGCCGAGACACAGGCGCAGATGAAGGTCGAGGGTGAGTCGTGCTCTGGTCAGCGCAGAGGGTTACGGGGAAAACCTCATTGTCCTCCCTATGCAATGAAAACGCGGAAAAGCTTGCTGTGTTCGATTCTAACTACATTATTGTCACGAAAGATGGTTCGTGCAAAGTTTGTCAAGCCGTATGCCGACCGACCTCGATTTTTTTTTTATCTTTTACACATTCAAAATTAGGGTTTTATGGCTTACGTGGTTTACCGTTTGTGTGTGTGTACAGCTCGCCAGGCGGTGGACACCTCCTCCATGCACCGAGGCGTGGTGGAGAAGACCGCGCAGATGGAAAAGTCGAAATTCGTCGAGCCCAGCTACGACATCGGCGACTACTGCAAGTCCAAGCCAGTCTTCATCGAGCCGCTGAAGGTGAGCGCTGCACCGAGTGCTGTTCGGTGGGGGTGGGGGGCTACCTGTGCCGACTGATGCTGTTGTCAGCGACCGATACCATTGACAAGTTCTGGGACTTCATTCAAGCGAATTTCCGATAATAATCTTACGATTTCCCGTTACACGTGTCGACTGCCGCTGACGCTGTCGGCTGCGCCGCGCTTTCCAGGACCAGCCGCCGCAGGCGGAGGGTCGCGGCGTGCACCTCGAGTGTCGCCTGGAGCCGCTCAACGACCCGACCATGAAGGTGGAGTGGTTCCAGAACGGCCGGCCCATCACCATCGGCTCGCGGTTCCGCACCTACTGCGACTTCGGGTTCGTGGCGCTGGACGTGCTGGAGCTGACGACGGCCGACTCTGGCGAGTACACGGCGCGCGCCACCAACCAGTTGGGCTCGGCGCACACGTCGGCCGCCGTGCGCGTGGTCTCGCGCGCCGCCGTGGACACGGAGCCGCAGCACGACGGCGCCCTGGAGCAGATCCAGTACCTGGAGGACTCTGCGCGCCAGGCGCGCCGCGAGGACGTCGAGACCGACGTCAACCAGGTGAGGGTGGACTGGGGGAGGGGAGGGGTGACCGGCGGACTGAGGGTAGGGGAGTGGCCGACTGGGGGGGGGGGGAGAGGTGACCGGCAGACTGAGGGAGGGGGACCGACCAGGTGTGGACGGCGGACGGGGGGGGGGGACTACCAATGTTTGGCAGGCGATGTTTTGGCGATATTTCAGTGTCATGGCGAGATTGTTCTGTGCTAAATTCATAGTGTTGTGCTTCGGCTATTAGACTTCCGTGTTAACTGGGAGTGCTATGTAATTGTCCCACATGGTGTGTCCAGTGACGGATATCAGGTGAGGTAGTGTTTGGCTGCCTTGTCTGATCTCGCCGCTGACCGGTCCCGGGCGCGCGCCAGGTGCCGACGTTCACCAAACCGCTGCGGAACGTGGAGACGATGGAGGGCACCAACGTGCACCTCGAGTGTCGCCTGCAGCCGGTGGGCGACAACAGCATGAGGGTCGAGTGGTTCGTCAACGACCAGCCGCTCAAAGTTGGTGAGTCGGCCGCGGACCGAACGTCCGTACCGGGAAAACGAACCCGAGACGAGAGGCCGTTTATTTAGCTGTGATGACACTAATACCTATTAACCCGCGCCCTGCTGGGGGGGGGGGGGGTGTTTGAACACCCCCCCTTGTGGTTTTTCGCGAATATCTCAAAAACGGCGGCGCGAGGCATGCTAGAGCGATGAAAACGCCTTAGATGTGTTCAGCTCGACGATACGGATCGACTGATATGCAACATGACCCTTTCCGGTCAGGTCATGACCTTGACCTGAGGTCAAATTTTCAAGTTGACCTTTCAAGGTCAAGTTATAGGTCATTCGATGCGTCTTGACGAGAGGAACACGATGCCGGTAAAAGTAAGCTCGTACAGGGCTTGGGTCAAAAGTTATTGCAGAAAAACTGTTTCCGAAAAAATCGGCTATTTTTGCAGTTTTTGCCCCCTGCAGGCAAAACCGTTGACGTTAGGTCAAATCTGAGAGAATTATTCAGAAAGGGCGTTAATAGGGCTATCGAATGCGCTTTTCCGCGGCGCTGTAGCTCTATTGGTTCCCGAGTTATGCGTTGGTTTCTGGAAAATTTTCGCCATTCGACCTGGAAATCGGCGAAATTTTGCCTTCAATGACCTCTGGTGACCTGACCTTTGACCTGACCAAAAAATTGACCGAAGTGATTTCGTCATTATTTTTGACGCTCTTTCGAACGCCGCCTTCCGCGTATCGCTACGTGGCCCAGGAGCCGAGTTACAAGGGGGGGGGGTGTTCAAACACCCCCCCAGCAGGGCGTGGAAATCCAGGACCCCCAGCCGGGCGCGGGTTAATCTTGCCGTGCAGTGTTTACTCGTAGTAAAATATAGCATTGAACGAAGTGTGCGTTTATGAACTACATAGATTGTAAGTACTGATTTTTACAGGAAGTGGTATGCTATGTTTTGTGTTATTTCGAAGTTTTAATTGGTTCGTTTTACGTGTTTTCGCTATCTATTTTACTCGACAAACTGCTCAAGTAGAATCATCGTCTTATGTTCCGCTCCAGCCCTTTAAGTCCATTCTAGACGCTCTCATTTGACCTCTGACCTCCCCCACCGACCTCTCACCTGCCGCACTGACACCTGGCCCCTCACTGACCTGCGCCGGTGCTGCCCTGCGCGCAGGCCACCGGTTCCGGCCGGCGTACGAGTTCGACTACGTGGCGCTGGACCTGCTCAGTGTGTACCCGGAGGACGCCGGCATCTACACGTGCCGCGCCACCAACCGGCTCGGGCAGGCCGTCACCTCCGCCGCCATCCGCGTCATCGGTGGGTGACGTCATCAGAGGTCACAGGGACGGGGCTCATTCGCTTTTGTCTTAACCCTCGCATGTGTGCGGCGTTTGCCAGCTTCTAATGTGTAGGGGGGGGGGGGTCGGTTGGACCCCCCCCTTGCCGTTTGGCCCCTGATCGAGCTAGAGCTTCGCGGAAAAAACGAGCATGTTGCCCGTGACGAGAGGAAGCCGATGATACCCAATTTTAAGGTCCTAGGTCATTGGTTGACCTTCCAGGTCAGGTCAATGACCCAAAGTCGGGAAAATCGGGACCTGTTAGAAAGTCGTAAAGTGTGGCTGCTAAGGGGTTTTTCGGGGTGCTGATCACGAATATCGTGTTAGTTTTGATCACAGATGATGTCTTGAAGCATTTAGACCAGGTCGGGTCAGGTCAGGTCAACCAGTAGGCGTCGTGACGGGTATTCGTAGTACGTGTCAACCGCCTCTGACAGCTTCGTAACATGTTACGAAGTCACCAAAACTACTTCGTAAATGTTCAAATGGTTGCTGAATTCGAATTCAGCTCCAAAAACTAGCCTAGAAACATGTAAAACTCGAAAAAGTGAACCGAGGTCACCCGAGGTCACCAAAGGTCAATGGCCTGACCTGACCTTCAGGTGACCTTGACACACACGGGAGTAACATCAAATCACATGTTTGAACGTTTGAAACCACGAAAAGCTTGCAAACACGCGGCTAGTGCGAGCCGACATACGCGAAATCGCGATTCCGGCCAAACATGGTCTCGGAAAAGAGGTCACAGGTCAAAGGTCATTTAGGTCAGGGTCATGAAATTTTCAGGGTAGGTGTAAAATTGATCAATGCGAGGGTACTGAAAGTTTCGTCGCGATCGGCCGCTTTTACGCGAGTTATTCGCGAGAAACCATAGGGGGTCCATCCGACCCCCCCCCCCCCCCTACACATGCGAGGGTTAATCTTTGACATTTCTTTTTTAGTGTTAACAAACTAGTCCTTTGCAACGTTTTCTTACAAAAATCTGAAAATATATGCTTCAGATAGCTAAAATGTCATTTATTGTGTCAATTTAACACCATGTTTTGTTATGTGTGTTGTCTGCAGCCAAGAAGGACCACTACACGGAGCACCCGCAGACGATGGAGCAGATCCAGTACATCGAGGACTCTAGTCGCTACCAGCGCAAGGAGTGGCTCGACGAGATGGTCCAGATCAAGCCCAAGTTCGTGTCCCAGCTCAAACACCAGGTGCGTGAGAACGGACGGCGTGGACAGTGGACACGGAAGAAAGGGGGAGGGGACACTGTCGAGTGATACACCAGCTCTCAGCATTTGTAACGTCATTATTTACTGTATTTATAGCAAAAGACAGGGGTACGGAAATCCTTATAAACAATGCTAAAGTTGTGTCACCGTCATGTCAAGATGGTGTCGGTGTCAGGTTTTCGTATCATGACTCGCCGTCATATTGTCTCGGTGTCACGTGGTCGGTGGTGTGAATGCCCCATCCCCGCCGTTCAGGAGAACCTGCGCGAGGGTCAGACGGCACACTTTGAGGCCAAGGTGGAGCCAGTCACTGACGTCAACCTGCGCGTGGAGTGGCTCAAGGACGGCAAGCCCATCACCGTCGGTAGGTGACCCCGGCCGTGGGGGGGGACGCTGACTGGGCGCGTGATCAAACACCGGGGAGCAATGGGCGGTACGCAGTCCGGGTGCAGCCGTTGTGTTGCATTCATAAGTCATAGTTACAGCAAGTACCGAAGAAGTGTCTGGACTACAACTGTGAAGGTGCTGGTCTGTATTCGATTGGTGCCGCATTAGAAGCTGGTCGGTAAGTGGCAACCAGGGGACGTCGGCTGGGCAGTACAATTAGTTTGAAAGCAGGAGTTGATGCATTTTTCCGTGGTGTTAATGGGGCTTCTCCAGAGCGGGCTGACCGCCCCGACCCGCCGGCAGGCCACCGCCACCGTCCGCTGCACGACTTCGGGTACGTGGCACTGGACATTGTCGGCACGATCGCTGAGGACAACGGCATCTACACGTGCCGCGCCACCAACGGGCTCGGCTACGACGAGACGTCGGCCATCCTTAAAACGTCCCGTGAGTAGCGGTCATCGGCGGGAGCCGGGGGGGGGGAAGTGTTGACCGATAAGCAGTCGAATGTAATGTGTCATGGTCAAGCGCATATTCATGTCATGTCCAATCTAAGATTATCGCAGACATTGCTATTTAGCAGCAGAATTAGTTAGCAACCATCGCTGTAGTTGTTTTAGCTGCTTATTCATATGCCACTTTACCGCTCTTTCTCGATCTCCAAAACTTGATCATTTATTTCACGCTATGCATCAGTTGTTTATAACCGCTTCAAGCTCCGTGTATTGTTCGTTACGCTGCGTGTGACTGTCTGTCGCCGTGACCGCAGCCGCCCAGAAGATCATCACCACCAGCCAGCACGAGGCGACCAGTATGCAGCAGCTGCAGTTCCTCGAGGACAAGTCCAAGTACAGCCGCGCCGAGCAGGTGGACGAGGTGACCACGCAGGCGCCCGTCTTCACCACCTCGCTGGCCAGCGTGCAGATCCGCGAGGGCCAGCGGGCGCACTTTGAGTCGCGCCTCATCCCCGTCTCCGACCACACCATGAAGGTCGAGTGGTTCCACAACGGCAAGCCCGTCAAGGCCGGCTCCAGGTGCGCTGATTAGGGGTCATCGGAGCGTATCGAGGGGTAGGAGAGAGTGGGGTAATTTGGCCGCTTTTTTTAGAAAACGATATAACTTAAAATTGACGACACATTTCTGCATTTTCTCAACGCTGGCAGGTGTCGCATTCATTTTACTTTACTGGAAAGTGAACTTGAAATGATAGAGTAATTACTTATATTGAAATTGTGACGTATTACAAAGGTCTGCAAGGCGGCCAAATTGCCCCACTAGCAGGGTTATTTGGCCGGGGGTGTGGGGCAATTTGGCCGTTGTTAGTTTGCAGTCGGGATTTTCTGTTATATTGCGAATCAGCTTCAGATTCAGCAATGACGTGTGTCCTATGACGCATTTGCCGCATTTTGGAGGTTGACTCAGGGGTCACAGGGGTCAAAATAGCCAAATTAGCGGCTCTAGATGCGATCACAGTTTTTACGAATAACTTTTGAAGTAATCAAGCTAGGCCAAAACTTCGAGTACCACCATCGTAATTCTCTCGTCAGTCCGCATCGAAAGATATATAAGTTGACCTTGAGAAGTCAAGGTCAAAGGTTGACCTCAGGTCACGTTGCATCAGGTCGCTTGACCTCAAGGTCACGTGATTTCAAGGTCATCATGCATATCATTCGATGCGCCTTGGCGAGCTGAACAGAATGAGACCATTTGTGCGGCTGTACCATTTTTATGTAAGGATTTATTAGCAAAAAACGTTTGGTAACCTTTGATGACGTCACATGCTCTTACAGTTGACCAATCGGAAGTAAGGCATCAAAGTAGTCAAAGTTGGTCATGAAACATGTCATTTATGGTACAATTGACCATGAAAACTCGGCCGTCCCAGCATAGTGACCATGAGCGCACCGGCCAAGTTGCCCCGCTAGTCCCGGCCAAATTACCCCATATTGCCATTCTGAAAATTTTTGTCTATAAAGTCATCACGGCTATACGGAATTAGATAAAATTGCTCTTGGAACCGCTGAACACCCCCAAGAATGGCGCTATAATGTCTGAATTCGTTTTTAGCCCAAATACTACATGTTATACAACTTTTTAAACAGAAGTAAAAGTTACCATTTTCTAATGAAATTAACGTTTTATTAATTTTGAATAAAACTACGAGGGGCAAAGTTTTGACATTTGTCCTCCAGTTATTTCTACCCATGACAAATGAATAGAGACTAGAGTTATTTCACTCACTTTTATTAGACATCGTACAGGTGGGGGCGGCCAATTTACACCACCGGCCAAATTACCCCACTCTCCCCTACTTAGATTGTATGGGGGAGGCGGAGAGAGAAGGGAAAGGAAAGGAGGGGTGAATGGGGTGGTCGATGATACAATAAAATATCAGGAGAATTTTAGCAACAATCTAGTGTATTCGAGAGGACGTTCGACTCAGTTGTAGTATGCCTAACGACATTTTGATTGCCGTGATATTGAAATGTAAAATTACGTGAATGTTCCCATATGTTGAGACACAAATAATGATTTGTGTATATTTGGCACCATTAGACCATAATGGTCTTGCAGTTAGCTTGCTCCGCTATACCGTTCCTCGATCTGTCTCTCCAGGTTTGTTGAGACGAACAACTTTGGTTTTGTGGCGTTGGACATCCTGGACGCGTACCCGGAGGACCAGGGCACCTACACGTGCAAGGCGACCAACGCGCTAGGCGAGGCCGTCACCCAGGCCAACCTCACCTGCATCTGTGAGTCGTGCTAAACGTAAAATTATTGAACATATAATCCTCATTTGTTTGTCGTAATATTCTGCGACGTATTAAACAGTGGTTTCGGTTCGAGCACAATGGTTGCAGAACAGGAAGACGTGTTCTATTCTGCTTCCAACCCTTGCCCTTCTGACTGACGCCAGGGTGCGCCATCGACCAGGGCACAGTCACTTCATACCCCTCTGACCGGTTCTCCGTGCCCGCCGACAGCCAAGGGCGCCATCGACCAGGGCACAGTCACTTCATACCCCTCTGACCGGTCCTCCGTGCCCGCCGACAGCCAAGGGCGCCATCGACCAGGGCACGCTGCACGAGGAGGCGCTGGCCAAGCTGCGGCACCTGGAGCAGAAGCCGCAGTCGGCGCCGCGCGCAGAGGAGGCCACCAGCCAGGCGCCCGTGTTCACGCAGCCGATCCGCGACCTGCACGCCGCCGAGGGCCAGCCGCTGCACTTCGAGGGCCGCCTCATCCCCGTCGGCGACGAGACGATGAAGGTCGAGTGGTTCAAGAATGGCGTGCCCCTCCAGCAGGGTGAGTCGCCGGCGGCGAGGCACGGAAGATGTCTGACGCTCCGAATATTTGGGATAATTGCGTAGACAATGGCAATGTCGCGCTCCATTGTACCAGTTGTATCGTTCCGTCTACTGCAATTTCATAAACCACGTGTCTGTTTTCCAGCCAACCGGATCACGACGGTGAACGACTTTGGTTTCGTGGCGCTGGACCTGAAGTACTCCCAGGAGGACGACAGCGGCACGTACACGTGCCGGGCCACCAACCAGCTGGGCCAGGCGGCCACTTCAGCCACCTGTCTGGTGCAGAGTGAGTTGCCGCGCCGCTGCCGGGGAGCCATGGGAGGGCGGGAGTAGAGGGCGCTGGGTTTGACGACAGGTGACCTTTCAGATGGGACAGAAAGCAGTACTTCTCGATAGTTACTTCATGTTAATTACGTGGTAGTTAAATCAGAGTTGTGTTTCAATTGACTGATTTTCCCATGTCCGTGCCAGCCACTGTCGGTGACCTGTTGCGGTGCGTTGGCAGGCCGCGAGTCGCTGATGCTGGGCTCGCAGCATGAGGGCGCCCTGCCCAAGCTGCGGCAGCTCGAGGATAAGCACATCTCCCGGCCGGAGGTGCAGGAGACTGTGGTCACGGAGAAGCCGCGGTGAGTGGCGTGGGATGGCCGCTGACGGGAGTGGCTGACAGTGCGGTCAGATTACAGCGCGCTACACGTTACTGTGCGTCACATTTGACCGGCCTGGCCAGTCGCCGACTCACCCCCGCTGTCCGTTCGTGCTCAGGTTCGTGACGGAGCTGACGGGCCCCACCAACCTGGTGGAGGGCCAGTCGGCCCACATGGAGGCGCGCATCGAGCCTTACCCGGACGCCAACATGAAGGTCGAGTGGTTCCACAACGGAAAGCCGCTCGCCATGGGTAAGCGACGGCTCGGATTTCAAGGAGTCTTAATTCAATTGGTATAACCCATCAGTGGCTGTGTGAAATATTTAACGTAATCTGATTTTTAAGACACTTTCCCGCAATGAAACAATTGGTGACAGCATAGGAGGCTGGTTTGAAAGCGATTTCATTACGCAGTCACTGAAGCCTTGTATGACTCCCAAGCGATTTGTGCGTGCCCTCGGCCGCCCATATTTCAGAGTTGTTTGTGCGTACTCTCGGTGACCGGTGCGCGCCTCGGCAGGTTCGCGGTACCGCACCGTCAACGACTTTGGGTTTGTGTCGCTGGACGTGCTGTCGGCCTACCCGGAGGACTCGGGCGTATACACGGTGCGCGCCTCCAACCGCAACGGCCAGGCCACCTCGCAGCTCAACATCACCGTCCAGCGTGAGTCCTCACCCGGCCCGGGCTGGCAGTGCTGCCCAATCACTTCTGCGTTTATAAAATCGGCTCAATAAGACATGTATGAAATTGATGCAAAATACTGAATTGTGAAAAATTTGTGTCGATGGGTCTCGGGATTAAAAAACAAAAACAAATATTAGTGAGTGGTTTAGCCTCTCAGTGTATTGCTGTCGGCTCAGCTTAACTTGTGTTGCATTGTTTGGTGCGAAAAACGATCTTATGCAAATGAGTATGTCCCACCGGATGCGCACACTACAAACTCACTGATCAGATAGGTGACGTTAATTACTGGTGGAATGATGACGCGTCATGGATTGTTATGTGATTGTTTCACGCCCCCCCCCCCCCTGCAGCGCGCGCGGCGCTGATCCAGGAGTCGCAGCACCCGGCCGCGCTGCAGAAGATCAGCCACCTGGAGGCGGGTCGGCCGCGGCCGGCCGCCGAGCAGGCACCCCAGTACGAGCGGCCCGTGTTCGGCCGGCCGCTGAAGAACGCCAGCCTGGTGGAGGGCCAGCCCACCCACCTGGAGGCCACGCTGACGCCCGTCAACGACCCGCACATGAAGGTGGAATGGTTCTACAACGGACAGCCCATCCCGCAGGGTGCGTGGACGGTAGTCACCGGCGGATCACTGGTGTTGGTGAAACGGTCTGTGAAAGTAGGGTGGGAACTGCTACTAATAGCTATTTTTTTCCAAACCTATGACAATTAAAGCTATGATGCTGCTTATCGGGAATATGAAACATTGCGCCATCATATTTTCCTAAGCGATATGGAAGTTTATTGAACGGGCGACTATAGCGAGTCCTGCTCCGATTTCCCTGCGCTGACCGATCCTTCCCACCTCAGGTCACCGGTTCAAGACGACCTACGACTTTGGGTACGTGGCGCTGGACCTGCTCTACTCGTACCCGGAGGACTCTGGCACATACATGTGCAAGGCCACCAACCTGGTGGGCGAGGCCGTCACCACCTGCAACGTCGGAGTCGAAGGTCGGTCCGTGCCCGGCGGCGCCTCTCTCTCTCTCTCTCTCTCTCTCTCTCTCTCTCTCTCTCTCTCTCTCTCTCTCTCTCTCTCTCTCTCTCTCTCTCTCTCTCTCTCTCTCTCTCTCTCTCTCTCTCTCTCTCTCTCTCTCTCTCTCTCTCTCTCTCTCTTTCTCTCTCTCTCTCTTTCTCTCTTTCTCTCTTTCTCTCTTTCTCTTTCCATTCAATCGCTCACTCAAGAGCCAAACCATAACGAATTCACGAATGTATGTACGTTTGGTTCTGCTGTCAGCGCCTTTCTCAGTCGCACTGATGTGTGTTATGAACGATATAGACTATGCTATGGTGTTACTGATTAGATACAATGCTAGTCGATAGATGAGTCACTAGACATTAGGATGCCTGAACCTCTTTCATAGCAGCGTAGAAAAAGTAAAACGATGGTTAAATTAGTGACATATGCATATCACTTTTCTCGCACGCTTAGCATTTTCTTTTAGTTATATTTTAGCGTAAGACTTTCCAGATTACTATCAGGCATTCTAGTTCAAAATTAGAGATACGTTTGTGTTATTTTCTTCCTTTCAGTGTTAACACAATACCCTCTTATTATTATAGCCCCTGCATTGTTATCGTTTCGGTTTTTTCTTGGTTTGGGGCACGGTGTGTGTATCATGGTCATACAATAGCCTCTGCAGTCTGCATGCTAAGGCTACCGCACATGCCAAACGCACATTCCCATGGAGGGTCGCAAGTTATAACACTACTCTCTAGTTGAGAGTTCGGATTAGACCAAGTAACCGCACCTTCCTGAAAGCTTAGGTGCGTGCCGAATCAATCAATTGGTAGTCAAGGTATGTCCATTTTGTATGTTTTGACATTGCTGACGGTGGTCATGCTTGCGCGGTATTTTCTATTTATGATAGCATGTGGGAGACGTTTTTAAGGAAGTGTCATTTCTAATATTCCTCAGGTAAATGATTATAATCAGCATTAATTTCCAACGCCGCCTTCTCCGTGGAGGCACAGGTTGGCCGCGTACTGGGGCGCCTGCTCGGCATTAGGGCTACACTGTGCCTACCTCAGTGTAGCCCGAAACAATACGAATTACAAAGACGTTTTTACGTAACGAAATGCTGTTTCGAGAAAGTTTCACTACTTAATGTATTCCATTCCAACCGATTCTTGAACAGCATCGGTGTAGTGCATAATATATTTAAAGTGGAACAAACATACCTATAGTAAGTTTATAGATCATTCGATCAGACATTTTAACCCGCGCCCCGCTGCGGGTCCTGGATTTCGCCGATTTTCAGGTCGAATGTCGACAATGTCAAACGAGCCGACGCAGAGCTGGGGAACAAACAGAGCTACAGCGCCCCGGAATAGCGCATTCAATAGTCCTATTAACGCTCTTTCTGAGCATTTATCTCAGATTTGACTTAACGCCAACGGTTTTGTCTCTAATGGGCAAAAAATGCCAAAATGGACGAGTTTTGCGGGAACAGTTTTTCTGCAATAACTTTTGAATCGAACCTTGCACGAGCTTGATTTTACCGACACCGTGTTCCTCTCGTCAAAATGCATCGAATGAATTACAATTTGACCTTGAAAGGTCAGCTTGTAAGTTTGACCTCAGGTTGAGGTCATGACCTGACCGGAAAAGACCATGCTGCATATCAGCCGATTTGTATCGTCGAGCTGAACACATCTAAGGTGTTTTCATCGCTCTAGCATGCCTATATCAAAAGCTATTCGCGAAAAGCTTAGCTAGCATTCGTGACCCGAGCTGACCTCAGGGGCATTAACAGGGGTCATGGGTGCTATTTTCTTGTTCAGTGTGTCATAGTCACTTGTAATTAAGTGTTTGAGAGTATTTAGAATGGCGTTCATCCAAAATAGGCGCCTTTCAATTTTTCGGGGAGGTTGCAACATTGATCTGACCATAGGTCACTGATATCAGAATTCTGAGATATACCTACATTTTTTACATAATGTTGCTCTTATCAATGCTGGAACTTTCATAGTGATCGATCACTCGGTGTAGCTATGGCAGACTTTGAAACTTTTTATTAGGTGAGGTCACTTGAAGTGACCTGGTGACCTGACCTTAAGTGAGCTTGGTCTGAACTTTCCATCGTTTTTAAGATATTCGCGAAAAACCTCAAGGGGGCGTTCAAACACCCACTAGCGCGCTGGGGACCGCGTCCCGCTGCAGCGGGGCGCGGGTCGAAGCCTTCCCACTTTAAGTAAACGTTCGTGCATATATGAATTCATGCACTGATTATGATCATTATCTTATGATCTTAAGCTCATGATCAGATGAGTCCGGTGGGCCTTGTGCAAATACACAGACTTTCGTTTTTTAGAGGCAAGTGACGTACAGGTCTCGCGAGATTAAGCGGTAGGTTTTGCACTTTTACATTTCCGGTTATATCTCAGAAACTAATCGAGCTACGATGAATCCATTTTACACGATCATGGCCGGCTTGTTACCCAACAAGTCGATCGCATCTTCAACACTTAAAAGCTTAAGACCACGAAGATATAGCCTGAAGTACACTAAATTTTTTCTAGGTGCAAAACCTACCGCTAAAACCCGCGAGACCTGTACTTATAAACTTGTTTGTTACGTAGGTTACATGCATAACGAGAACAAAGGGTTATGGATGAATAATGCGCCTCTAGGCCTGCATTTGTTAGCACGTCAGCTCTCTGGCTGGTCCGTTTTAGACGGGTGTTTATTTGTCCACGCCGGCCGCGGCTCGGCGCCGCTGAGCTGAGTATGACGAGATAAGCGCCGAACCACGATCCGAGAAATGACATCCCTCGTCCTGTCTGAGCGGGAGACCTGCACCGGCGCCACTGAAAATAGTGCCGACCTCTCGCTCGCTGTGTATGTAAATACATCGCTCGGTCGGACGGCGCTGTCGGCGCCCGGTCCCTCTCGGACCTTCTACATCATCCCAGCGCCGCGCCTCGAAGGTCGCGCCCCGCCGGTAGCCGAGTTCACCCCCGCGCGCGGCCAAAAATACGGCGGTGCCGATCGCCGGCCGGGGAAGGACGGCGCTCAGTGGCGCGCTGTCGGTGGAAGCGGCGAGTCTGCTGCCGACCCGGAGCACGAGCCTCGCCGCGGATCCGAGTGGCACGCCAGCAAGTAACGACCATACGAACGACACAGCGAACGACTCCGTGCGATTCTTTAAAGTGAAATCATTCAAGCTCTGAAAGGATCAAAAGCATAGCACTGCTATGAACCCTAGAATCGCTGCTGATTGAATGATTGAGGAGCAGATAATTTGTGCTGTAAATTGTGATGTGTGATACTTTCGAGTCGTCAGTCAATACTGACGCGTCAAGAGCTGACAGTCTGGTGAAATACGGACCGAGATTGACGCGAATCTGATCTATCGCTGCCGACGTCGCCACCGCTCAGGCTGGTTTGCAATCGGGTGATGATGGACAGCTGCAAACTTAGCGGACAGGATGTGCCGGTGGCGAAGGAGCGAGTGCCCGAACTGCCTCCCCTCAGCTCATCAGTACTGGGGATGTCATCCGAACCGTACGTCGACCGACAGGAGACGGCCAGCCGCTGGAAGGCCTCAGACAGAACCGAGAACGGACACTGCGAGTCGGAAGGCGCCGAGAAGCAGTCCCGCGCGGTACAAAAGGAGGAGATCAGGACACCGAACGGGGTCTCCACCTCCACGGTGGAGGAGGTGACCAGTGAGGTCACGTCCAAGACGCTGGAAACCTCTCGGCTCCATCAGCCGGTCACTGGACAGCTGGCGTCCAGTCCGTTCTCACACAGCGGATTGTTCTCGAGCGGCGTAAACGGTTCCGAGCGACAGGCGACCACTGCGGTTTCGGGGCTGGCCCTAGGAGCGAGTGGGCAAACACCGAGCCAAGCTCAGAAGTTAAACCCAGGCCTGGCACAGTTGAAGTTGTCTGGGATGCCCGAATTTAAGCCCAACGTGACGCTGGAGTTTGGAACTCAGCTGTCAACGAAGCCCTTCGTTGACAAACAGGACACTATCAGCCATTCTAAGACAGCTGAAGAAACCCAGACTGGTCGAAAAGAAACTGAACGGCAGGAGAAGAAGAGCGATGCAATCCAATTTTCAGTTACACAGACTCCAACCTGTACAGTCTCAGAGACTGTGGAGAAAAAGTCGCACGAGACGTCCTTTAATTCACTTGAGACATCCACGCAGCCACCATGTCGAGCTCCCGGATCGACTCCCCCTCAGAATACCCTCACTAAGCAAGACGGCTCTCCGGCCAACACGTTCCTCCAGTCCATATCCAAGTACCTATTTTCTTGGAACGATGTGCCGCCAGCGAATACCTTGAACCTAACTTCAGATGTGTCCAAAAAGGAGAACGAATCCGGTTCGAATGTGTCGAATCGGGTACAAGAACCTCGTGACATCAGCAATCCACTAGCCAACGTGGAAAAGCAAGGCAACGGTTCTCAAATATCAGAAAGCGCAAGCACTTGCCGCCAAACATATGAGCGCAAAACGACGGATGGTTACGATGGGAGACGTTTATCCTCCGTGCCGACAGAAATGATTCAAACGAACAGCAAATCCATGAATGCTTCGGTGCGCCCTGCATTTTTAATGGGCGAAGCATTAACGTCAGAATCGCGAGACCAGCGAACAGCCGAACCAACTGAAACGATACCCAAAGTTGTACCTTCTAGTTTGAGGGAAAGTAAAACGCCTACTACAAAGGTTGACTTTAAGACAGGTCTGAGTTTCTTTCAGTCGGACATGTCAGGAGCGCCCTTTCCACCGGTCCAGCAGATGAACAACGAAAATAAGACGCCACTTGGCCAAACCAGCGTACCAGGGACAGATATTTTCACGGCAAATGCTGGCATCCACGACTCCCAGTCGGCGCCCCAAACGTCCATCAAGGCGAACCCTCCGGCTTGTTTTACACCAAAGTCGTGGGCACCGGTGAAACCGCCTGTCCCAGTGAAGACCAGAGATCAGACGGCA